GAGAGATCAGGCTGTTTGCTCAGTCACATGCTGATTAATCTGGAGTGACACTTTGAACCCTGGGTAGCCCAAAGCCCTGTGCTTTGTAGTCACCATATAGTACCACTTCCTGGTTTCAAGGCTCCCAATCCCCGAATCCCTGGTGAACACCACCACCATTTGAGCACCGTAGTGCTTATCAGCCAGTACCAATTTGATGGCAAGCATATGTGGAGCCCATTCTTCCGATCTTGTGTCACCTCACTTTGGATAATGGGCTCACGCTCAATCCAGGAAAATATAAGTGGTGCTAGATCACTGTCATTTCTTATAATTGAGTAATATTCCATTGTATACATATACCAAATTTTAATAATCCACTCATGAATTGACAGGCACTTGGGTTGTTTCCACATACTTGCAATAGTGAATTGTGCTGCCATAAACATTTGGGTGCAGATGTCTTTATTATAGAATATCTTATGCTCATTTGGGTAGATGCCTAGTAATGCTATTTCTGGATCAAATGGTATTTCTATTTTTGGCTCTTTGAGGTATCCCCAAATTCTTTTCCACGAAGGTTGCACTAATTTGCAGTCCCACCAGCAGTGTAAGAGTGTTCTTATCTCTCCACATCCTCACCAGCATTTGTTGTTTTGGGATTTTTTGATAGAGGCCAATCTCACTAGGGTTAGGTGATAACTCATTGTGGTTTTGATTTGCATTTCTCTAACGATTAGAGATGTTGAGCATTTTTTTTTTATATGTTTGCTGGCCATTATTCTGTCTTCTTTGGAAAAGATTCTGTTCATTTCCATTGCTCATTTATTGATGGGGTTGTTTGATTTTTTTCTTGTTGATTCTTTTAAGTTCTAGATAGATGCTTGTTATCAGAGCTTTGTCGGATGTGTAGAGAGCAAATATTTTCTCCCATTCTGTAGGTTGTCTATTGGCTCTACTGATAGTTTCCTTGGCTGTGCAGAAGCTTTTTAATTTGATCAGATCCCATTTGTTTATTTTTGTTGCTGCCGTGATTGCTTTGGGGGTTTTCCTCAAAATCAATTTTAAAATCAATTGTTAGATATTTGACTTTTTCCAACTTATATTGTTGGGCATTTAGGCTGTTGCAACTTTTTGGCATTATAAAAAGCTTGCAATAGAAATAATTAGCCAAAAATTATGTGCAAATAAAATAAAGCAAAGTGAAACAAGACTAAAAAACACACACAAAAAATTCAGAATGATGGACAGTTATGCAAGAGAAGAATGACAATTGTAAAAATCTCTCTTTCTGTGTTATATTGAAATCGTAATACTGTGGTAACCAATGGCTGAGGAATGTTTGCTTTTGAGTGGACCATGATGTTCAACAGCTTTCTAAGTGTTTTTAGCAAAATCATCTGTAGCCAATGGCTTGAACCTTAAGTGTGGATTCCAGCCCCCAGTCAGTCACAGGAAGGCACTAATCCCTGAAGTGTATCTACAAGAAGTCATGGAGGGATTATGTTTAGGGACTAAGCCACACACCCAGTGACCAGAAATGGTAGCTGTAGTGAGGAGAAGCACATCTCAGAGTCAGAATATTAAAGCACCTCTTAAGTCTGGAGCGCATGGTGGCAGCCCGGCTAATGACAGCAGGAAGTCGAAACTGGGACCTGGAGCATTGGACCAACACTCCTCATCCTTCTTGCCAAGGCGCAGGAGATTGGACCTGGGACGAGCCTACAGGTGGGACAAGTGGTTTCTCAAATTAGGAGCATGGCAGGTTCTGACATTCAGAAGTTTAGAAGGAAAATGACAATGGAGAGTTGTGAGAACTGCAGGGTGATTAAGGCCGAGCAGAGCAGGCAAGGAGGCTGTGCGAGGGAGGCCTTTTAGTACAACTGTGGTAGCAAATGGAAAGGAAGAGACTCTTGTTCTGGGCAGTGGTAGGAATTATATATACAAAGGTATCTAGATAGCCCCACTGAATAAACAGATTGGAGTAATACCTGTAGATATATTCTTCTCCACATCACTTTTTTGACAAACAGAAACAACCTGTGGTTGGTCCTTTGGAGCTTATTATGCTGCTATTACTTTCCTTAAAGTTTAGCTGGTATATTACAATTGTCTTTTATTACAGATCTCCGAAATAAACATACTATACCTTATGCTTACAGTTTAAGTTAACGTTATCATGTTTTAAAATTAAAAACTATTATCTTTTCTTGGTGCTATGAGAGCTGTCACACAACTAATGACTAATATACTAGGAAGACATTTCAATTAACTTTCTTGGATATCGATCAGATACACACTGAGATTTATGATTGTATTTTGAAGGCTTCATTAGGTGAGGCCTCAGGTGTTTTGGATAATCTCTCAGCCAGTGGTTTCCAAACATGGGGAAGTGCTGCCTCTGAGTGAATTTAAAGAGACCTCTCTTTTGCTGAAAGTCTATTGTGTGTTTGTTTTTGTACCAGGAACAACAATTGCATAAAAGTTTATTCAGCATTCTTAATTAGAAATAACGTTTTATGCTTCCAGAGGAATGAATTCAAACACCTCTAAGAATGTTCAAGATGTTACAGGAAAGTCCTTTAATTATGTGTAGGTCGTGGTTAGATTTGCTTCAGTGCTTTGAACTTTTGCATCAAGTCCTCCTTCCACAGTATTGGATGAGTATAATCATCATTTCTGTCTATCCCATGGGATTTTCTGATATATATTGTATTTTCAATTACAAAATAATCTATGCTTGTCTTTAAAACAAACCCCAGAACTAAAACAATGTTGAATATAAACCCCTCTCTGTGAGGAGGACACTCTGTGGCTAGCTTGTGCTGTGGCGCAGGCTTCGGAAATTGGAAGAAAAGGTGAGTGTCAGCAGGCAGGTGAGACATGCTCTTTATTGAGGGAAGGGGGTTCAGCCATGGTGAAAAGCATGGCCAAGAACATGGCGAGTGCTTATATATGGCTCAGAACAACAGTGGCAGCAAGCCATGGGAAAGCGTGATCACATGGGTTCACGTAGGAGATGACAATTTGGTTACATGAACATGCTGATTCATGCCTCCCCAGAAGGCCGGCTTGGAGGGGGCGGTGGGGGGCCCAGGGCCAGAAGAAACATTGCGGCAGCCATCTTAGCTTGGCCTAAGAAACTCATTGCCTATACAAATGCAATTTCCTTCCCAACGTCCAAGTGATATGAACTAAAATAAAATCATAAGGCTCACCCCCAACCGACTGACTGAATGGACACCTTCTTGGCCAAGGGGATATCCTAAAACTAAATTGTATGCCATGAAGTGGGAGGTCAGACAGGCCTCATCATGCCCCCCTCCCTTCTTGGGGGCATCCTTTGTAACCCGATAAAAGGCCTAAGGGTATGCAAGACAAATCTGCAGGTCCTCAATTCACACAACAAATATATGCCCAGTGGCTTGTCTTTGATTAACAGCTCCTTATCTTAAAACAGTTCAAGCCTTTAGACAAAGTTTCATGTCTTTAACCAATTACAAGTCAAAGAGTCTTCAAACCCACCTATTACCTGTAAGTCCCCCCCTTCAAGATGTCCCACCTTTTTGGGCCAACCCAATGTATGCCTTCAACGTATTGATTTATGACTTCACCTGTAACCCCCATCTCCCTGAAATGTATAAAACCAAACTGTAACCCAGCCACAGTGAGTCCACTTGCTCGAGGCTTCTTGGGTGTGGCTCTGGGTCATGGTCCTCAAATTTGGCTCAGAATAAATCTCTTTAAAATTATTTTGCAGACTTTGGCTTCTTTTCCATCGACAGTGATTACTGTGTAAACAATTCGATGCACACCTTTCCAGTTTTCACAAGCGTTCTGTGTGTGTACACGCATGCACACCTGTACGTCTGTTACAGGTGCCTCTTCCTCCCTCTCTTGCCTCTTCCCCTTTGAGCTCCCCTTCTTCTCTGTAGCCTGAGTCTGGGTGCTGCCAGAGAAAAGAAGACTTTTTGAGTTTCACTTGTGGGTGGAGCATATTTTCTTTGCCCAACATGAAGGTTCAGTAAATCCAGGCTGTGGTTTGCTTCCCTTTATCCTCCACAGCCCAGCCAGGAAACTTCCTGGAACAAACCCTCCGCGATGCAAAGGAAAGCAATTCTGGTGCTTTCTCCCGGGATGGCCAGCCTGGAAGCTTCAGTTCCAGCTTCCCTGGTGATTGGCCCAAGGCCCAGTGGGGCTTTTGTGCCAGTTGATTCCAAGTGTGAAGTTTCTCTGGGGTTTCTTTGGAAAGGTGGTTCTTCTTCGCAACATTCCTCTTCCGTGTCTGTGATTAGTTGAGGTTTCCTCTGCCTCGATTATCTGTCATTTCAACCATGTCTTCTATGATTTTCTAAAAAATTTTATTATGTTGATGGTGGACCTAGTGTTTTTGGTTTTTTTCCCCCCTTCTCATCTCTCATTTCAGTGATGTTTAGGAGGCCAAAGAGGTGAGGTACACATGACAGCTCAGTCAATACCTTGAACTCACCAGGTGTCTAGTCTCTTTTTCTATTTCTGATTTAGCTTTTTGTACATTCTTTCAGGGAAAGAATTGGTTTGCAATTTCTCTGAAACTTGAAAACATTTTTTTTCTTTCAGTTTTGCACCTAATGTAAATTATAATAAAATCATTGCTATTTCATTGCTTTCTGTCTGGATGTATAAGTGACACCATTGCTTGACAAACTGCATTTATAGGCCTCCACAAGGTGTTATTTGCATAAGGCCAATTAATGATGCAGAATTTACTTAAAAATTTGACATAATTATCCGTATTTCATGTGTAAATATATATATATATATATAAATGTCACTATCTTCTTATAATATATATTTGTATTTTATTTGCCAGGTGACAATATTGCCACTTTACTTTTTCAGCATCCACATCAATTGGAGATATAAAATAAGTATAATAGTAATTTTTCATGGGCACATGGTACTCATTGTATCTTAAAATGATTTCTTAATCACTATCAGAAACAAATGAATGGTTCAGCTTTTTGAAAATTTTGTTTCAGGAAGGGGAAAACATTTTCTATTTGGCAGTTGAAGACATAGAAACAGACACAGAACTTCTGATTGGCTACCTGGATAGCGACATGGAGGCTGACGAGGAAGAACAGCACATTATGACAGTCATCAAGGAAGGGGAAGTTGAAAATTCTGAATCCACACCTGGCAGGAAAGGTATTGCATCTTTCATTGGTGATCTGAGAGAACAATCGTAGAAGCAATGTAGTTTGAGCTGCGGTTGAATTATAGTTGCATTGTAATATGGTGGTCTCAAAGCGAGTTTTTGTTGAAACTATTCTCAGAGGGTATCCAGCTATGGGCTCATCTTTCTGACAGCAGGAAAAGAACGCTGGGGATGGGTGACAGAAGTACCCCGTAGAGCTGCCAACGTCAGGGGTGCGCGGCGTTGTTGGGGCAGCCTCTGACGCTCACTGCTCTTACTGGTACATTGGGGTCACAAGTAGTAAGGACTTCTGTACTCTTGCCATTGCCCTGTCACTTGTCAGTCTTGCAACACTGGGCAAGTCGCTAATTCCCTGAGACATTACTTTCTCTTCTGCACATGGGAAAAGGTGAGGTCAGGTGCACAAGAAGGCCCTGCTGGATCCTAGGGCGTTGATTCCTGGAGGTAGGTTCTGGGTTGATCTCTCGTTTGAGATCTTTTGGGAATCTGGAGCTTCTGGGAATCTCTTCCTGTTCTTATCATAGGCCTGTGGGATTGCTAGGTTTTCATAGTTTGATGACCTAAACGAGTGACCACAGTCAGGGACCATCGTCAGAGATAACTAAATCAGTCCTGCAATCCAGGAGATAGATGTCACTTGCTTGTCAACTTCTAGGGAGTAATCAATTATTGGGCCTCATTTCTATTACGGTGTGTTTTCCTCCTGAGGGACATATGAATGATGTTCTAGGTATTCATACTTTGTAATAGGCTGTATCTTAGTCCGTTTGGGCTATTATCACAAAATACCTTAGGCTGAGTACTTTGTAAGCAACAGAAACGTCTCGCTCATAGTCCTGGAGCCTGGGACGTCCCAGATCAAGGTGCCAGCAGATTTGGTGTCCTGGGAGGGCCCATTGCTCATTAGATGTCACTTTCTAGCTGTGTCCTCCTGTAAAAGAAGGACCATATGAGCGCCCTCCTTTATAAGGGCATTAAGCTGACCTATGAGGACAGAGCACTCATAACCTAGTCCCTCTTAAAGGCCCACCTCTTAATACTATTCCACTTGGAAAGTAGGCCTCAACATATGAATTTTGGGGGTACATGAACTTTCAAACCATACCAGGCTGGTACTTACTATATAGCATTTTTCTATTCTGTATAGCAAAGCCATTTCAGAAGTGACACTGGTTTCATTAGTCATAGTGGTAGTAATGCTTTTCATATGAATTTTCTATTTTAACCATAGGTCATCAGCTGAGTGTGAACTCAAATAAAATCTTAAGGCTCACCCTCCACTGACTGACTGAATGGACCCCCCTCTTGGCCAGGGGGATATCCTAAAACTAAATTGCCTGCCATGAGGAGGGACGTCAGACAGGCCTCATCATGCCCATGTCCCTTCTTGGGGACATCCTTTGTAACCCATTAATAGGCCTAAGGGTATGCAAGACAGACCTGCAGGTCCTCAATTTACACAGCAAATCTATGTCCCATGGCTTATCTCTGATAAACAACTCCTTATCTTAAAACAGTTCAAGCCTTTAGACAAAGCTTCACGTCTATATCCAATTACATGTCAAAGACTCTTTAAACCCACCTATAACCTGTAAGTCCCTGCTTCGAGATGGCCCACCTTTTCGGGCCAAACCAATGTTTCCCTTCCACATATTGATTTATGACTTTACCTGTAACCCCTGTCTCCCTGAAATGTATAAAACCAAACTGAAACCCAGCCACAGCGAATCCACTTGCTCAAGGCTTCTTGGGCGTGGCTCCAGGTCATGGTCCTTAACTTTGACTCAGAATAAATCTCTTTAAATTATTTTTCAGACTTCGGCTTTTTTTCCGTTAACATGAGAGAGTATGAGCATTCTCTCCCCATTGTCAACTTATGCTTCTGTTTCTTTATTTTAGTTGAATTTTTTAATAGGAAGATAAGGACAGGCTTATAGTCTGTTCTATTTTCAAATATGTATTATGCTGTTTGGAATATCAGATTCTGGGTGATGGGAATTATTTCTGCATCATTCTGTATTTTCTTTGTTTTAGCATTTTTTTTTCCTGTCATCCCCAGGACTAGTTATTATTATGTCCATTATTTTGATTTAAAAGTAAGTCTCCTACTTATCTATTACTGACCTGCTTTCTGCCGTAGTTATCAAAATATCAGTTTTCATTATCTTTATAAAAAAATCAACAGAAACCGAAACAAATATTTTCAAATGTATGAGCCAAGTACTTTGTTGCTATTTTGATTTTAGAATTCTTAGTGTCTTGTTTAGAAAAGCAAAGAGACTAAACAAAACTCAGCAAAAAAAAAAAAAAAAAAAAAGAAGCGAAGGAGCCACCCAAATGTATAACAATGGAAACGTTTAGTTAAATAAATTATGGTACTTTAAGTTTAAAAAAAAAAACAACCCCAAGACATTTGACTTGAAAAGATGATAAATTACAAAAAAAGAGCAACATGTAAAATTGCATATTAAGTATGATCATAAATGTACCTGTTCCTAGATTGTATAAAATATATATGCCCTAAAGATAAGTCAGGCTTGGAAATATATTGTCTCTTTAAGATGGGATTAGTGGTTTTTGATTTTCTTTATTTTCTAAATCTAACTTTATTTGATAATCAGAATAAAATATGTGTAATTTACATGGCATTCTGAGAAATTTAGGCAGAAATGCCTCAGTCCACATGGGACAATAGAGTCTCACTCACTATTCCTGTTGTAGCCAATGTGGTTTTAATGACCTTGATTTTTTTTCCCACTTATCTGTGGGTTTCTCCTTGATAATTCAACATAGTATGGCTCAGTTGGATTTTTCTCCCTGTGAAGGGTAAGGTGAGCTAAAAATGACTCATTGCAGGGAAAACTTTTGTTTTGTAATGTAACATTTGTTAATAACTCTGGGAAGTTAACATTATAGAACAAGTTAAATACTGAATTTGATTTTGTATTAATTTGGTGAAAACACATGTAAAAATATTTAACAAATAATGTATTTCTCTCTAGTAACACTTCCTGTTTTCTGGACAGTACTGTTAATATTCACAGAGGTAATAAGAATTTATGTCTATGGTACCATTAAGCACATTAATTTTGATTTTGAAATGGGAGTGAAACTGAGCAGTTCTGGGCTGTGAGCAAATGCTTTTCCTTATGCATGTGCAGGTCGCCCTGGCAGTCAAGAAGACTGTGCCTGTCCTCATTGCGAGTCGAGTTTTACCAGTGAGGACATTCTTGCTGAGCATCTTCAGACGCTGCACCAGAAGCCCACAGAGGAGAAAGAATTTAAGTGCAAGAACTGTGGGAAGAAATTCCCAGTTAAGCAGGCTTTGCAAAGACAGTGCGTATATTAAAGAATGTCTGTAAAATTATAAGCTAACACTTTATTAAACTATTTCATTCAGCTTGACTTATGGTTTCTAACCCATGTGTGTGCACATATGTTTGTGTGTGTTTGAGTGACAGAGAAATCAAACCTTTTCCATTGTCATTGTCATTAACTCATGTATGTCGATATTGGAAATATTCTGGTCATCAATTCTAACAAGTACATATTGTTTATGCTAATCAATCTTTGTTCATTTAATAGCTTGCTGTTAAATATCAAGCTTATTGGTTTAATTTGAAATTCAGATATACTTAATTTAGCTAATCTTTTGGGGTGACAGATCAAGTTTTAGTTGTCTATGTTTTATATTCCTTCTGGAATCTGTTAAAGAAAAGTTTCAGAAATGGAGAGAGTTCAGAGTATAAAGAATTTATGGACAGTTTGGGAAGCCCTATTTATTTGACAGCAACTTTGGGAGAATAATTTAAAGATGAATAAGTACAGGATATGACAACATGATGAATTAATGATCCCATGCATTGCTCTGTGCTTTTATTATTTTAACAATTTATAATTACAACATAAAATTTAAATGTGCAAAAGTGGGTACATGTATTTGTAAAATGTTATTTTTATTTTACTAACTACAGGTTTTTATTTTAATTAATAATTGAATTTCAGTAATTTAAAAGCATGTTTGCATATTCAATACCACTGTAGACTATCATTTTCTTGAAACCAATTAACTCCAATATGAAAGTCATATAAATGACATTATCCCATGCCATCAATATACGTCTCTCTCTTCTCTTTTGCATTCCCTTGCCTTCATTTACTTTCTTTCTCCATACTTAACTTCTGTTTTTAACAGAATGGCACTTTATATATGAGCAAGAAAACTTTAACATAGGTTTAATGTTATATTTTTTGTTTCATTAAAGTAAAATTTGAAATATGCTATATTTCACATTAAGATTATTTCTATATATTATATGCATCAGCTTTTACTTATAAAAATGGAGATGAAAAATTTCTGCTTAAAACTTCAGCTTAATGTTTAAAACATCGAAACTTTTATAATAGCAAGAGATTACATATTTAGAGATTCTTTTACAGGTTCTTAAGAAAACAAGGGCTGTATACTTTTTAAATAGTCTTTAAATTGCATTCTAGTCAGCTTTTATTATAGTTAGTATTATATATTTATACAGAAATTACCTTTGCCAAGCTGGGACTTATAGTTAAATAAGGTACTACTAAAATATTTAAAAGGCAAAAAAGACAGAATGAAAAGAGGGATTATGAATGTGACTTTATTCAGAGTTGGCATATTCTTATACATTTTTGTCTTAGATTTCCAGTTTTTGTTTCTCTCTCTCTTTTTTTCCTATTTTCCCTTAGTGTTCTTCAGTGCACAGCGAAAAGCAGTCTGAAGAATTCTTCGCGAGGTTTTCAGTGCTCTGTTTGCAATTCTTCCTTCAGTTCAGCATTGAGGTTTTGTGTCTGAGTTATCAGATGACTGTCGTATGGTTGTGGGTTATTTTTTTGCATGCATGCTTTCATGCTTATTAGTAATTCAGTATCACATGGCTTCCGAATTTAAATGCTTTTCCTCTTACCTGCAGAGGTAATGCATGGAATGATCCCGAGACTCCACAGGGAGCATGTATTACCAAAGCTTGCTGTGATGTTTGAATTTTGTGGGTATGTCTTCACCATTTCTTCTCCCTGTTCCCCTTGCTGGTTGTCTTGTAGTTTTGAGCAGCATCAAGAGACTTGCCGGGGGGATTCCAGGTTCGTGTGCAAGGCCGGCAGCTGTGGGAAGAGGCTGAAGAGCAAGGATGCCCTGAAAAGGCACCAGGAGAATGTCCACACTGGTGAGGAGTCACTGGGGTGTCATTTTTCAAGGGGCTTCCTTCCCCAGGCCGCAGTGATCTGTTTTTAATTCTCACTCCCGAGGAGAGAGAGCTGGCTTTTCCATTGTGCTTCACACAGATGTGCGGCTCTGGCAGTGGATTTTTTTTCTTTCACTGAAAACTCTTTCTTTCTTAAGTCGATTTCAGGAGCATTTGTCATTTTCCCCCCCTCTCTGAATTATTCATAACTATAAACCTTAGCTAGAGTCTAGATATGCTTGGCGTAACTAGATATGCTGTGTCAGGTGCATTAAGAACTGATATATATATATATTTTTTTGGCATATTATGGGGGTACAGATTTTAAGGTTTCAATAAATGCCCATTTTCCCCCCTCCCCCCACAAGTCTGAGTCTCCACCATGACCATCCCCCAAATGGTGCACAGCTCACTCATTATGTATGTATATACCCGCCCCCCTACCCCCTCCCACCTGCCCAATACCCTATTACTGTAGTACCTATGTGACCACTTAGGTGCTGCTCAGTTAATACCAATTTGCTGGTGAGTGTATGTGGTGCTTGTTTTTCCATTCTTGGGAAACTTCACTTAATAGTATGGAAGAACTGATATTTTTTAAACAACAATTTTAATGTTTTGGCATATGGAATTTATTTTATAAATTGTTAAAATTGATGATTGTAGATATATTTTGAAACTATTAAGTGACACCCTTCTGCCTTAACATTTTTGCACTCAAATCTGATTTTTTTAATGCTTAAAGTTCTCCCATATTAAAGAAAATCCCTAACTACATTTTGACAGAGACATTGAAAACATTTAGGTTCATAAAACAAACTCTACGAATTCCTTCTAATGGCTAGCTAAACAGTAAAACAAATATAAAATTTGACTGTCACTTAGATTTTATCTGCTCAGCACATGGGAGGCAGGCAGTACGTGTACTTGGGTTTAGGGATGGGGTGTGCAGCGCTGAGTTGAAGGGGTAGCTGTGTCGCCAGTGTTGACTTTTGACTTCTTCAGGTCTCCTGATAGGAGGTTCAGGGAACTCTGCATGTTCTTCTGTGCATTTCCTTTTCTCACGTGTTTACTTTTGCCCTTGGCTCTGGGAAGCAGATAGAAATGTGTCACTGGATATGGAGGAAAGTGGATTTCTTTTTCTCCCTTCTTGGTTATTCTCATATTTAGGTGACAAGGACAGTCTGTACCCAGTATCTGTATCCTGTCTTTGTTCATTGTCCAAAAAGTACCTACTTTAATAATGTTAATTTAATAACATTAATTAATTAATACTATTAAAGTAATATTTAATAATGTTAAAGTTGTAGAGGCTCGTGTGAGCGTGGCTGTTGGCGTTAGCTGCATCCTCGGTTTGAGCTGCACGTTACATGAGAGGTTTGCATGAGCGCCCTGGTGGCAGGAGGAGACCTGGCAGAATATACCTTCAGGTCGCTGCTCCTTACTAGGACCCTGCAGTGTTCTGGTTTCTTTCATTCCTTTTGAAGAATATATAGCAGGCCGGGCGTGGTGGCTCATGCCTGTAATCCTAGCATTCTGGGAGGCCGAGGCGGGTGGATTGTTCAAGCTCAGGAGTTCGAAACTAGCCTGAGCAAGAGCGAGACCCCCATCTCTACTATAAATAGAAATAAATTAATTGGCCAACTAATATATATAGAAAAAATTAGCCAGGCATGGTGGCGCATGCCTGTAGTCCCAGCTACTCGGGAGGCTGAGGCAGGAGGATTGCTTGAGCCCAGGAGTTTGAGGTTGCTGTGAGCTAGGCTGATGCCATGGCACTCTAGCCTGAGCAACACAGTGAGACTCTGTCTTAAAAGAAAAAAAAAAAAAGAATATGTGGCTGATCAGGGGAAGATGAAATTTTTCTGAATTCGGTATACCGAGACCTTCCTTATGATTTGCAAAAGGTAAGCATAACTTTTTGATAGATTTGCCATCATATTTTTTTTTAATGCCGTTCTAGTTAAAATGCTATTCTTAATTTTCTTCATCTATGTCTGCAATATATTGTAACAGAACTTTCATGTCAGTTTTAAAGTTAACTTTGCTGAACTAAATAAAAAACCAGATGCGTTCTGAATCTCTGAAAACTTCTGCATTCATCTTACAGGGCATATGGTGTTCAGGCTGTGCTCTAAGAAAATTTCTTTGAGGTTTCTTGTAATTGGCCTTGGATATTGTACTATTACTTATTCTGGAAATTCATGGTGATTTTGTAGGAAATAATTCATACAAGGAAATTTTGTTTTCTTATTTTTTCTATGTCGTGGATTGTATCAAATGTGAATTCTTGCTGTATTTCGGCTAACGGTCACTATGCCATATCTCTTGCTGGAATTGGTGCATAATTTGATTCTCTCATTCATAGGCCCCTTTCTTCCATGAACTACACAGATGTTTTGGGAAAGAATATTCCCTGTTGGGAATAGCAAGCAAAGCTGTACTCATAAATATGATTATAGAATGTTTTGTTATAGAAAAAGGCAAAGATATTCAAGGAAAGAGAAGATCTTGCAGCTTTTCCACTTGTGATGGCAAATGTTCCTTGTTAGGTGATATGAATTGAAGATCATGAGAGGAGAGAAGCTGATTCTTTTAAATGTTGATCACATTTTCCCATAGAAACCATAATATATGGTAGGTAGGTTCTCAGACCAGCTCCTAAAACCATACTTAATTCACAGTGTGTTGAAACTCGAGTACTTAAGTGAGTATGTATTCAGTACAGTTGTACTGATTTCTTCCCCCATTCTCTACTGCTGTAAGTAATGTCTCCCTGAATATTTTGTTAGTTGCATCTCAACTGGCTACAATGGCTTTGTAGATGCTGTTGTTCTCGAACCTATGGAAGTGTTAGGGCGATGAGAATCTTCAGTTACCCAGTAGAAACAGGTTGGAGGGGGGCTTAGCTCCTAAACCTACTTCCCATAGTGCTCTTTTGCTCAGATTCTGTGGATGCTAACATAGAAACTTTGTATTTATGGGAGATAATATCTATCTACACCTTCAGATAAATAATCATAAGCGTTTCCTAAACATACGTATGGGGAATTGATGGCAAAATACATGCTATCAGATATTCATTTTGCTAGAGAGAATTTTCTCCTTTTGTAGCCATTGACTTGCCAATTACTAAGAAAGTTTTTCTTGGCTGTAATATTTAGCATACTAAAAACATTGAAACAGGTAGCTTGAATAATAGCACAAAAATTCATATTTTGCATTTTCTTCAAATGTGTTTCTCTTTCATAAACATGGTGCTATAATACAATCAAATCACATTGTAATATTGGTTTCACTTGTGTGGGATTTGCTTTAAGATAATGGGGGAATGGGGGAGTGCTTGCGTTCAGGTTGGGGCGGCAGTGGCCGTGGGTTTGCTGTTGTTGGGCTGGGTGATATAGACGTGGTGGTTCATTACACTATGTGCTTGCTCTATGTGTATTTGAAATCAGCCAATTAAAAGTTGATAAACCGTTTTGTGGTTATTTATTGTGGTACAGATGATACTGTTTTTACATCACTTTAAAAAGTTTTATTGACTGTTCATTTCTATAACCACTGTGAAATTCAAAATAAGAAATGAGCTACTATAAGCATAATCATTATGTGAGAAGACGAAATTGGGCTTGTTTTGATCTGTGTAATAATAGGAATTGTCAATATAATGTTTTATTGAACTTTATTTTATTTTTAACATTAATTTGATAAAGCATCTGCTCATAGATTTTACAAGAGTCTAGTGCTGAAAAGCATAATCTATGAATTCCATCTTTAAAAACCTAGCTGATTAAATAAAATATTCTATTGAAATGGAATTTCAATAGAAATTAGAAATTCAATATTCTATTGAAATGGAAAATGGAAATTCAATATTCTATTGAAATGGAAAAGAAGTAGCAAAATCAATTTATGAATTGATAAATCCAATTTTTTTGTTTATAAATATATTTGGTTAAATTTGATTTGAATTCTTTGTGGATATATGCTTTTCTCTTTTAATACTATACACTAATTAGTACATGGAAAGGTGAAAGGCCTATTTATAAGTGTAGAAAGTAGTATATGAAATGGAAGATTTCTCTGATTTAAAAAGAAAGGTTTTAAAATACAACTTACTCTTTGAGTTTAATAGATATGTCTATAACACTGAATAGTTTAGAATTTTAAATTGTGAAGATTAAATTACATATCACCTAGAAAAACTGTTATCTGTTGCTCCTCTTAATAGTCTCGTTTAAATCATGATGGTATTTATTTCTATTTTAGGAGATCCTAAGAAAAAGCTCATATGTTCAGTGTGCAATAAAAAGTGTTCATCAGCATCAAGCCTACAGGAACATAGAAAGGTCAGTAAGATAAACATTAGCAGTCAGCACAATATAAGATCTTTTGGTCATTTATAGTGTCTGCCATGTAAATTTTTAGTTGATTGTTTTATATTGTTAAGACAGAGCTATGTCATTAATTTTAGCACTAATATATTCTAGAATGCAAGGCCAACATGCAGAAAAGTAAACTGCATAAGGATATTTTAAATTATTTATTGTTATTCAGAGGTAGTAGAAATATTTCTTCAATGTGAAGTGCCATGTCTGGATGAGTTTCTCATTTATAACACCCCACCTTGGTTTTAAGCTTTATCAGTTGCTACTTGCTCAGGAAATATAAATCTATGAGGAAAGTATACATTTTTATGTATTTATAATGTGGAGGGCCATAGCATTTGGCTACTGAAATGATTGCATATTATAGTTTAGTCTGCAACAACAAAGATAAGCTGCAATATTTTGACAAGCTAAAAATAAAAGTAATGTAATAATAATATGTTATAATAATGTAACGAGTTGCCAACATAATGTTCAGTGAACTTGATTTTACTTTCTGCTGTTCTTTTACCATTAAGGTGATTAAGCATTAACTCATAGATTTGTATGCCCAAGTGTTTTTCGCAGAAACAAATGATTATATTAGGAGGAAATCAAATTAACATATTTTGAATAAGTATATGTTGGTATTATTATTTTGATGTAAAAAGTTAATCTGAAAAATAAATGACAGTTATTAACTCTAACAACATTAGCAATGAGTTAGTATAATTTACAATAAAATAGAATTATAATGGAATTTAGATTTTTGTTCGCATCATGACTGGGTTCAAATATTCATATTGTATTTTATTATTATAACAAAGATATAAATGATCATTTTCTAATTTCACATATTTTTTTTGGAATATCTAGGAGCCTGAAATACTTTATTTTAGTGATTTTGTACCAAAGGAGAAGGGAGATGGTGCTAGTGAAAACAAAATTTTCCTTTTGTTATGATTTGTAATATGAATTTTATCTCTTTGCTTATATATAGCTGCATTCCAAAGTGGTTTGACAAGATTTAAAATTCATATGATTTTTTAATGCAGTCGCTACAATCACATGCTGTGGATTTAACTTTTAACATGTAAGATAGTTAAATTATTGTGTTATATATCCTTTTTGTTGAGTGATTTTGATCCTTAGGGAGAAATAATGGGACAAGTACTTGACTGGGAGTCGAAGCAGTGAGTCTCTTCTTTCTCTGTCACTAGCCCTCCATGTCACATTGGGCCATTGTTTTCTCATTTATGAAATGGGACATTGAACTGATTGGTGTTATTTTGTTTGTTTTTCTTCTTGAGTGCCATGGAACTACTCTTTTTTTTTTCAGTTTCCAAGTGGTGATTTTATTAGATGGCATCAGATTTTAGCCAAAAGGCTGAGAAGTGGTCAGATTGTTTAAAAATATGAAATGCTTCATGAACTTGTGTGCCATCCTTGTGCAGGGTACATGCTAATCTTCTCTGTATGATTTTGATTTTAGCATATGTGCTGCCGAAGTGAGCACTGAGATTGCTCTTATAGGAGTCTTGTGCAGAATGCCACTCCAGACGGCACGTCTGTTAGGTCTCTCTTTCTCCTGCCCCTCATCTCTCTGGCTTCTGAAGCAGAGCCCTAGTCTGAGACAAAGAGATTAAGTCTCCTGGAAAGGATAGCTTTTAAACATCCTCTTACTTCTATGATTCTATGATTTGTTTCTCTGATCTATTTACATTTTAGAGGTTGATATTTTACCAATTAGAGTGTTCAGCAAAGCTGGCTGTAGAGCATATTCTGAATAATGTCCCCCTTTTCATTTATTTTCTTCATGATGTAAGAACTTTTTTCCCCTGAGAAAGGAGTATCTTGCCAGAAGGAAATCCCACTGGTGGTTGTGGAATACAGAAGCTGGAGCTCAAGAGTTGTCTTTGCAGAATGTTATTCATAATATTAATAACTTATTAGCACAATGCAGTCCTTCCTCCGTTATAGCGTAGTCCCTCACTAGTCAGCCTTTCTGAATCCATAGGCAGTTTTATTGGCTCCAATTTTGACTGTTCGTATAGTTGGGTATATCTAATGTCTAATAGAGTTTAGCTGCAGTATTTTACCTTGCCAGTAGATAGTGTTTTATGACAATGCCAAATTATAGTATAGTATACTAAAATTACTATATATTATCCTATATTCCAATAAGGTATATTATGATCCTTCTTGAAAATTATTTAATTTGGGACTTCAAATTCAAAAATACTATTCTATAAATCAATTTGGTAAACTGGAAATTTTATAAAATTTTTAAAAGATATGGTTTACTTAGCATGAGGCATAAATAGTATTACCCTGTCATTTTTGCTTGAAATCTGATTGTGTTATTAAGACTTTTAAGGAGTTTTGAAAATATCTTTGGCCTGAATTTTCACTATAAGTAAGATAATCAATGAAAAAATGCTTTTATATATAGTAAATGTTCTTTTTTATGATATTGGGAATATCAATTCAATTCAACTTTGAAACATTTTTCATGTTTCAGAAACCATGAGAGTTAAGAAGTGAATATGAGTATTTTGTAGTTACTATTTAATATGTGGATTAACAATTTTTAAAATTTTAGATACCAAGAAAAATGAAAATAAACTAAATAAAAGTTTTCATTTATGTACTGCTCAGAATGCATAACATTTTTAGCATGTGCTTGTCATTAGAAAATTATATATTATAGAAAATAGTTTGAGAATATAAATCTACTCTTACTATCTTTAAATAAACATTACACATCATATCATTGCTCCTCAAACGTAGGTGTGCAACTGAAGCCACTGTGAAGGTCTTTGATGATTGGAGAGGCTGCTTTTAACATGTCTCAGGCTGGAAGTTTTTCTTCTGTACTCTGTGGTACTAGCATTCTGAGTACTTGTGCGGGCAGGTGTGCAGACCCCATGCAGCTTCCTAAAAGAACCGTGGTGCTCTTTGGACGCCAGATATCCCCTGATCAAGATTAGATGCTGCTGCATCTAAGCAAGGGGTATAAAGTCAGATTCTGGTGGGATGACATCTTTTGGTTTCTGCCTTGCTTCTCTCCTTTTCCTTCCCCTGCGTCTCATGCTGAGCTTATTGACTCAGCAAGAGTCAGATCAGAGGCAGGTCGGCAGCCTGAGACCGGCCCTGTGCTTGGGCACAGAACTAAGGTGGAGGCTGCAGACCTGGGATCTGTTAGCTTTGCCCCAGCGTCTGTTTCCTTGCCTTTTTCCCTGCCGCTTAGATCAGGAGAGCCGTTAACCAGGAGCCAACCTAGTCCTCTACTCGTTGCCCATGTGCCGTACCAGTTCAGGTCTTCTGCCTCAGTCTTTGTACTGCCCCTACTTATTCTGTAGGGACCACCACCATCTTGACTTCTTGCAGAAAGAAGGGTCTTTGCTTGCCTGGGGTTTAGTATTATGAGCTGGACCTTTAATGTGGTCGAAACAAAAATATGGCTTCACCAAAACCATTTTTGAATATTCAGCAAAATAATGTGATGCCCTCGTTCATTGAGATGGTCAACATTTCTAATATAAGGCATCATGTAATATATTCCTTTTACAATTGAGTACATTGTTTCTGATAGTAAACTGGGCCTCTACCTTTCATACTGCCTATTCAGTTTCTCTGCTTTTGTATTTGGGAGGGAAAGAACTGATTTAACATTCAATTGTAATATTTATATTAGTTAATTGTTTGCTGAAGTTATGTCTTCCTTTATTATGTTTCTAAAATAAATTTGATTGTGTATATTTAAGGTATACAACATGATGTTATGAGATATGTATGTAGTAAAATAGTTATTACAGTGAAATATTAACACATAGTTACCATATCTCACAGTTACCTATTATTTCCTTCCCCCACATGGCAAGAGTAGCTATAATCTAGTTTCTTAGCAAAAACCCTGGATACAATACACTGTTATTAACTATAATCCTCATGTTGTACATTAGATCTAAGGATTTATTCATTCTGCATAACTGCTACTTTGTATCCTTTGACCTATATTCCTCCCCCCCCTTTTTTTTTATCAAGGTCCTCCTATCATGTGACTCTTTGTTGTGAGCTAAATGGTTTTCAGAATTATTTATTTTCTGGTCTCTCACTGTAATTAATGTTTTGCTCTGTACTGTAGACATTTAAGTTTAAAATACTGTTGTCTACTGTGAAGGGGAATATTATTACCTACAGGTTACATATTTATTTCCAAGTCTAAATTTGTGCATAACAAATAAATTCAGTATTACTAGGTATAAATTTTTACAGAGTGTATAAATTTAATATATATTAATGAGGTCAGTTATATTACATGATTAAGGACTGTGAATCTTATGTTTTCTTTTAGTGATAAGTTTTTACTAGGCAACTTATGTTCATTGCATTATCAACTTATATAGGATAGTATGAGTAAGTTAGGGCTGAGTTGTAATATATAGCTTGGATACGACAGTAGCAACTGTCAACATGTTTACATTTTTGCTTTCACTGTATATAATTTATTAGTATTGGACAGTTGATTTAACTGTCAGTTTAACCTTTTGCAGATTCATGAGATATTTGATTGTCAAGAATGTATGAAGAAATTTATTTCGGCTAATCAGCTAAAACGTCATATGATCACGCACTCAGGTAAACTACATGCTTTTGTTTATCTTGAAATCACTACAGAAGAATTACTTTGTCATTTTCTGGGACTCTATGAGTGGTAGTTAGGAGCCCTGGCTATAAATTCTAGTTTGGACATTAACTAGTTATTTGCTTTTGAACAAGTTACTTCATTTTCTAGACCTAAGTTTATTTATAAAGCAAAGGTAGTTAGATTAAATGATATTGAAGATCTTCAAAGTTACCATATGATTTGTCACCTGGTTCTCTTTGAGCCTCAGTTTCTTTTTTCTTCCTCTGTGAAATGGGCACTAGTGCCTACCTTTCAAAATAGCTATTAAGGTTAGAAGAGATCATCGCGTACAGTGCCAGCATCGTGTCTGGCGTCTGGTAGAGATTCAACAGTTACAGTTCCTACGTTTCTTGATACTTTTACATTCTAAATAAGATACTAATAAATTTTTTAGTGCTACATTTATAAATACGTTTTGAGAATGTATGTTTTTTAAGCCATAGTTTCATTTTAAGCAAGTTTGAGTAATAGGTCTGTGTTACTTATACAAATTCAAGAAAAATCAGCTCTGAAAATAATTTTTGTTGCGTGGATTCCCTTTGCAGTATATCCACAATTTGAGGCCATTGAAGTTACAATACTTTGAATGTCCCCTTTGTTTGGAGATAGTTGTAGGTATTTAAATAAATTAAAATCAGAGATCAAAAAAATTGTTGGCTTTCAAGTATGCTTTGATACACATTTATATTTAGTTGTCAACATTGTACGAATATCACATCGATATGGCTTTTACATGCCTCAGTGTCTAGTTCCTGCTGAGTGTCAGAAGCTCTGGAGCAGCAGCTCTGTCCTCTCCCTCTGTCCCCTCTGTCACTGCCGGGCCACTCAGCAGTCAGGGCTGGAACTCTGATCCACTCACGCAGAGCAGCACATTTTCATCTGGAAATAGGACTTTTTTCTTGCATGTAAACTTCTTTATATCTAAGCTACTTTACACATTCAGTTTACAGACTAGCTGTGTAAGAGAACAAGCTCAGGGTTCATCTGCGAGGAGACTGCCCTTCCCTAATGGAGGGGACGGGGTTGGGGGGTGGATCCTTGTTAGGCGCTGGGCCGTGCGTGGGTGGCTCAGCCGCAGGACGCAGTGCAAGGTGAGCATGCTTCCTTTCCCTTCTCAGCCTTAACCTTTATGAGAGATGAGACCGTCTCCACTCATTTTTTTCACAGAAAAACGCCCCTATCATTGCGAGATTTGCAATAAGTCTTTCAAGAGGCTCGACCAAGTGGGTGCCCACAAAGTAATACACAGCGAAGACAAACCTTACAAGTGCAAGCTTTGTGGAAAGGGATTTGCCCACAGAAATGTTTACAAGAATCACAAGAAGGTAAAAGCGTATTAATATTTCATTATCTTTTTACTCATTTGCTGATTTCATTTCCAATTGTTTAAAGAAGTTTTTGTGTATCTGGGCGTACTGCCCATGCAAGAACTACCAGAGACCCTCCCCTGCCCGGCACCCCCTCGCCCAGCCGGGCCGCGGCCTCCATGTGTCTTCCGCTCTGCGTGGGAATGAATGTTCTGGCAGGCAAAGTGTGCAGTGACCTGACTCTCACCCATTCTGCCGATTTGTAGGCCGTGGGGTTGTACTCATTGTGAAATATTTATTCTCTTCCGTCATTCTGTAAAGTTTGACACTCTATGTTACCGTTTTGAAATTCTCTTTATCTTTTGTGCCTTTGTAGTATAATTTGATAGGTCTTCTACCAATTTCTCTGAACATTTTTGTGATGTCCCTTCCTCCCCTGGAGGTTATCCTGGGTGCTTTGGCTGTGGACCTCTTTCTTCTGTGTTCTCTCTCCCTGAGAAATGGCAACTCCATCTGTGGCTTCTGCTACCAGCGCCATGCTGACGAATTCCCAGTGATTTATTTTCTTTGGTTCCCAGCTTTAGACTCACATTTTAAACTGCTCACTCAATCCGTAGCTGGGTGTCTTTTTGACATGGTGAATTCATCATGCCCCAGGATGACTTCTTCATTCGCTTTGCCCCAGGTAACTTCCCTTTTGGAGTTTCCCTTTTCTGTTAACGACAAAATTATATAATTATCCCAGTCTCTTTCTTCAGTCTTGGCCACTTTATGAAATTAGAAACCAAATCATAAAGACTCTGTCCTCTATCTTATTTCTTCACCTTCTCAATCGTCCCATCCTTGACCATTCCATGTCTTGATTATTTTCCTCTGGATTGCTTCAATCCTCTCCTGAATGGGCGTCTTGGTCCTTGTCACTTCTCATGCAATCCATGCTGCCAGGTAAGTTGTTCTAAAACATAACTCTGGTGTATCGTTCTCATACTCTAATTTTTAGAAGTAGATTTCCGATGCCTGTGTACGTTATAGTATGCACACCTTCTGTCATTCGTAGTTCTCTGCAGTGACTTCAACCCACTTGTCCAGCTTTTAATTTTTCTATTCTCTGCATTAGAACAACCTGATATTTGTCTCTTTTTTTTTAATGATCTGACTTCTCCTTTCTCTTCAACTTATAGTCTCTTAGTTTCTTCTGTTGATTCTTGTCTTCATTTCTTACACTTTACCAAGCTGCTCAACTTCTTGCTTCAGAATGTATTAGTTTTATCTACTTTGTGTAAGTAGTAAATAATGTTTGAATTGAATTTAGGAGATTTGTCCAAAGACCTTCAACGTTTTAGAAATGCACGTAAAAACATAATTGTGATATGACAAATATTTGCTTATTGATTTTGGTTGATATATTTTAGCATGCTATTAAATAACATGTATATAATCTTTTAAAAAATAACTTGCTACTTACATTTTCACTTGTCATAGTCCATGGAGATTACAGTCACTTCAATATTTATGTGGACTTTCCAATGAAATCATTTTATCTCTTTTAAAATTATTAAAAAATTATTATATCAATTTCAGCTTTTGTCAAAGAAGAAAAATTAAAAGGCAAATTTATGAAAGAATAAATAGAATTGACTGATACTGTCTCAAATCATCTCTGCCTAATTTATTTCTTACCATCTTTACATTTACCTCAATTATATATTCAAGGGCAGAACTGTTTTCATTAATGCTGCTTTGGAATTACATGACTGTAAAAAATTATCTGGCTAGTTTCCTCCTCAGTCTCTGGAACCCTCTATCTCTTTTCTTTGATGAAACTGTCTACCCACATTTATGAGTTTTTTACAGTTTGCCTTATGTTACAGTTTGCCATATGGGAATTTGGCACGGGATCTTTGCACCATGTCTCATAGTTTCAGCCATAAATCACACAAAAGTAATAATGATGTCTTGGGAAAGATAGAAACAACAATGCCTGTAATTTTTAGAAAGCACATTCAATCCTCCTGCTCCAGACAAACGTGTTTCACACTGTTATGGTACCAGCATATGTTTGGAATGGTTATGTGAAAATATGTGAAATATTCTCCAAGAATCATGTAAAAACAGCAGATCAATCCTTTCTTCTATCATTATTCTTTAAGGGCTAGTTAGGAAACTGAAAATAAGGATATACCATGGAAATCAGAATTAGTCAGTGTGATCTTTATCATGTAGCATGTCCAAGCGCTGGTATTTAAATAAATTAATTCTACTTTTGTTTTTTTGAGTATGTAAGCTGTGCATTTTTATTATATTTAATTGAGTTATTTTGTCTTTTAACATTTAAACTTGCTCGAAAAAATAAGTATTATTTTTTGTTATGATGATGATGATATATAGTGAAATTTTGAAGGGGTGATTTCTTTTTTTAGAACTTACTTCATCATCTTGCCAGTTATAATGGTTCAAAGGTTAGTTTACCTTCTCCCTGCTCTTTTGTGTTAATCATTTGATATAATTTATAATTATATTTTAGGACCTAGCTAAAATAAAGATTCTTTATCTGGATCCAGCTTTACTTTGATTCTTTAAATCACAATTGGACAGATGTTTCAGAACCACAGAAGACAGAAACTGGTCAATTAGTCTTTGCCCTTCGTTTGTTCCCATTTTGTTTTTATCTTTTCTTATTAATGTGCCATAACTCTCTATATTACCAATATTAAACTTCATTTTATGTTGCCCATGTTTTCTTTGTCATGGAAATTTTTGCTTTGCAGTTTTAAATTTATTTCTCTCATCTAAACATCTGGTTTTCTGCCATGCTAGAAAGCCTTTTCCCACTAAAAGGTTATTTTAAAATTCACTCATATTTTCTTCTAGTACATTTAGGGTTTTATTCTTCACTTTTCAAATATACTTGAATTGATGTGAAATTTATCTTATTATAAGAAGTGAGTAATAGACTCAACTTTATTTTTTTTTCAGACAGTTGCCTCAAAAACATTTACTAAATATTCTGCTCTTCTCTCACCAATTTGAAAAGCCATATTTTCCTGTACTAAATGTTCATATATTTGCATAATGAAAGAAACCTTTCTAATTTCTGTTTTATTTATATGTGTGTTTCCATGCTGTCATTTTAATTTCTGTGGCTAAATAGCACATTTGAATATTTATAATTTATGCTGACTCTTAAATATCTCTTCCTTTCATCCTTTCTCTATATTTCTCACAACTGAATACAAACATGGTAATCTCTTCCTCATCCACATTATGTTAATAGGTAATACTTATATCTTGAATACTATTATGTCTATTAAACTAAGAAAATGTGTAAATCAATGTGCCGTGATAAGTGAATTCCTTTAAATTATTCCCTTTATTTTTATACCACGTGTAACATAAAAACCCAACTGTTATGTGATTTGTTTCATTGTATAATATTAAGAGAGCATAGTTCAATTTTTGATATTTTTTATGAGCCTTTTTATTTTGCCATCCATGGTAGAATAAAAAGTTATTTACTAATTTGTGCCAAATTGGTTTATACCGATACATAATGGATAACAAGTGGAGTAAACACGCTTTGGCTGTTTTGATTGTTTTATATCTTGTTGTTTTTTTGTTTTGAACTTTAGATATAGCTGATGACTTTTTGTTGTTTCTTGTTTATCTGTTTATTTTTGTTCGTCATGTACCATAGTGCTTAATAGTGTTTACTACATCTGTGCTTGTACCTTTTATAAGTTACTGGAACTCTTTGAGCCTTAGTTTTCTCATTTGTCAGTTGGAGACAGTAACAGTGTTTTATTCATCAAGTTATTGTTGGAATCAAATGAAAAAATCATATAAAGTGTTTACCATAGCATTTGCAATAAACGATAAATTTAATGAATGTTACTTAGGATTAATTATACCATGAATAAATGCTCTAATGGAATTTAGGGGAAAACAGTGCCTATGACTAAAAATTATTTGAAGTTATTCAGTGAAGTTGAAGGAAAAGAGGGAAAACAATTCCTTTAAACAGTTTCCTTTGTCTATGTTGCAAATATTGTACCAGCAAAAGCCTGGTCGGTGATAGAGGGGGTTAGATTTTAGAGAAATTACACCCCAATGCAAATCTGCAAAGCAAGTCCTGAGAAATCTGTGTGTATTCAGAAATTAGCAGTTTAAAGTAATAGCAATGATTTCCTTTAGTATTTATCAAATTATTAATGTGAGAGATTGAAAATACAGTTATTTTTCTCTTGTGAACACAACACAATATTTGTGTTTACAATTTTATGGTAGAAGAATGTCACCAGAAGAAATAAGCTATTGTCCAGCTTCCCTTCTTTGCTCTTTCACATCATGAATCCCAGCTCTGATGACTGTCATGACCTATTGATTCTAGATCCTCCTGACTCGCAGTCTTCTCTCTGCAGACCCACTCTGAGGACAGACCATTCCAGTGTGAGGAGTGCAAAGCTTTGTTCCGGACCCCATTTTCTTTGCAGAGACACTTGCTAATACATAACAGTAAGTCTCAATTCAGGCAGTCGAAAACAAAAGGAATTATCTTGTGCTTTGTTCTTACAAACTTTCCCAAGGTGTACCTGTGAGTAGGTGTATAATCTGCTTTTGAACATAAAAAGGAATGAAAATTCTGCATCCAGCATCTAGCTTCCAGAACTTACTAGCAAAACTTTCCATCTTCCTTATAAATCACTACTATATGTTTAAGAAATAAAATTTGTTGTGCAATAGCAGGAATTTCCATCTTATTTCACTACCATTTTGATTAAGAAAAATAACTGGTGTGAAATAAAAGGATTTTAAAATAGGAATTCAGGTATGTGAACTTCATCCAACCTATTAAGATTTACTAAATTTGGCCTGATACTCAGGAAATTTTTCTTTTGAAAGATGAAATTTTATTTCTAATAACAGCAAGGAATTTTTAACAGAAGGAATTGAATACTTTTGATTTCAACGTATTGGTTCTCATCAACTTGAGAAATAGGATTGAAGTGACTACCGCGTGTGTATTGTGTGTTTAATAAGATGACGATCAGCACAGTAATCACAGGCTTTATGAACCTGCGTCATGACATTTGGCCAGGAAAGTCAACTTTGACAACTGAGTGAGTAAGCGAGTTACTTAAGGTAAAGTTAGACATCAGTAAGTAAAAAGAATGGGAAAACTAGAAATGGTTAAAATAGAGAGGACAAAATACTAGGTCTTGTCTGACATATATGAAAATTAAAACCCATTTAACTTCAAAATACGAAGGCTGTTATTAGAAACTTACATCAGCACTCTGGCTCAAAATATGAAGAATAACTTGTTGTAATTATTTTGGAAATTATTGCTATTTCCTAATATACTGAAAACTAAAGGGCAGGTTGCTGGCTAGCTTCTGGGTATTAAGACAGGGAAAATTATGATAAATTTAAGACAAGGAAATCTGAAAAAATCAGATGAAACCTTATATCAGAATTTAATAATTCTGATAAATATAAGACAAAATATCTGGACCTAAAATATGAAAAAAAATAGCTTGTATATTCTTGGCATAACCTGTTGAAATTTTTGCCCAGGGACCAACATTTTGATTCACTTGATAATTTAATGAAAATGCTTTGATAAGAGCAATCTTGGAAGTTGTTTTTAAAGAAAGTCCCTTTCAGTGCCTAAATAGATGTCATATTGTTAATATTAACTTTTATAATCCTATATCAATTGATATTTCCTTATACTGTCACTGATTATACGTTTTATACACATAAAATGTTTAAATAAATCTAAAAAATATATAAAGACAAAGTAGTTTATAAGGATAGTACCTGCAACAATAATGCACAAAGGCAACAAACAAAGCTGTCAGAATCCATGTAGTTTACACATGGTTTGGATATCACTTTGTTTTAAACATCAAATATCAATAGAACTCTAAGAAACTTGAAATTAGCTGTAATTCTACTTGAAAGACAAAGGAAAGGTAATTTTTCTTTTCTCTTCTTTTTGTTCCTCCCTCCCTTGCTCCTCCCTTTCTTCCATTTGGTATGAAAAATAATAGGATCTTTACATTTCTAAATTTAATGCTACTTATAATGGAAAGAAATTAGAAGAACTTGGCTGAAATTGAGGAAATCTCTTATTTAGGTATAGAGATTTAGTTATTTCTATATTTTGCCTCAAACTGATATGATATGGCAATCTATGCTAATATAATTGTTTTCTAAAAAAGGAAAATATATCCAAATACTAGTCTGTCTTATTCGTATAATCATGTGCTATATGCATCTTATACCGTCCCAGTACAAAGCACTCTCTTCTAATTGTGCACATTCATTGCTAAAATTGTGTTTAAAATGGACTGCCAAAAGTTAGTCTGAGGTGTTAAGAAAAGCTACCAAGATGGCATTATGTGAGCTACAAAGTACCATAAGATCCCTAAACTCTAGTATCTGGAGTTGCTTTTCCTTTAGGCCAAGGCTAGATGACAAAAAGGTGAAAACTCTCAGGTACCCAAGGGCTCCAGGGTAGAAAACAGTAGCTGGCCAGTCTTCCTCCCTGTCCCAGGCTAACTGCACCTCTGGGAGGCGGCCTCCCCGCCTGTCCCTGAGAGCCTGGGCAGCTGCTCCACAGCAGCCCAAGGAGGCAGGGAGCCTCCAGTCCAGGTTCCTGCGACAGCGCCGAGGAAGGAGGGGGCTTGTGGCTTCTGCCTGTGCCCTGCTCACTAGAGGACATGGGGCAGCGGTGGGATTTGAGGGGAGCTTTGCTTGATAGAGGCCTTGTGTCACTGCAGGAGTCCACGCACCTCAAAATACAGCCCTCGCCCTAGAAATATATACTTAAAAAAAACCTTCATGGTACCTTTAGAAAACTAGGTAGTTCAATCTCTGAATTTTCCAGTTGAAGAGATTGAAAAGTTTAAGATTAAAGGACTGTCCCCTGGTCACACAGTGAATTAGCAAATATGGATCGTGAGTTTGTTATAAAAAATTATGTTAAATTATTAGAGCTTTTTTTTAAAATTTTTTAATTTCAGCATATTACAGGGGTACAAATGTTTAGGTTGCATATATTGCCCTTGCCCCACCCGAGTCAGAGCTTCAAGCGTGTCCATCCCCCAGATGGTGCCCATTGCACCCATTAGGTGTGAATATACCCATTCCCTTTTCCCCCTTCCCACCTGCCCGATGCCCGTTGAATGTTACTACTGTATGTGCACTTACGTGTTGATCAGTTAATACCAATTTGCTGGTGAGTACATGTGGTGCTTGTTTTTCCATTCTTGGGATACTTAGTAGAATGGGTTCCAGCTCTCTCCAGGATAATACAGGAGGTGCTAGATCACCATTGTGTTTTGTGGCTGAGTAGAACTCCATGGTATACATAGACCACATTTTCTTAGTCCGCCCATGTATGGATGGGCACTTGGGTTGTTTCCACATCTTTGCAATTGTGAATTGTGCTGCTCCAAACATTCGAGTGCAAATGGACTATTTGGAGAAAACGAGACTAAGTCTGGTATACGTTAGGAGGAGCTAATAGGACCCTGCTATTGCATCCGATGTTTCTCTTTCTCTTATGTGGCTTTTTTGTTTCTAAGGTGAGAGGACTTTCAAGTGTCATCACTGCGATGCTACCTTTAAAAGGAAGGATACGTTAAATGTTCATGTCCAAGTGGTCCATGAAAGACACAAGAAATACAGGTGTGAGCTATGTAATAAGGCATTTGTTACACCTTCAGTGCTTAGAAGTCATAAGAAAGTAAGTAGAAGCTTTCTGTTAATTTAAATGGATTATATATTTACACAATATGGGAATATATATTATCATGTGATAATTTTATATTCATTTAACAACTCAAAATGACAAATGCGTTATTGATATCAGCACTTCAGAAAATGTCCACCTCCTTCATTTTTCAGCATAGACCTCCTTTTTCCAGGGAAGAGAACCTCAGAGTTGGATGCAGATTCTCTGTAACTCTTAGCTATGCTCATAGGTGATTGGTACAAAGCACTCAGTGAACGGGAGCTTATCAATTTTTATACAGATTTGAATTAATGTAGGCTTTTTCTTTTGAAGAAATATGGGTAGTGCCTTAATAATTTTGGTTTTGAAAGCTAATTCCTATGTTTATTGGCAAGTTACTGGACTGAGCCCTTCTAGGATTGGAATAGTCTTTCATGGTTGCATCTCTAGGGCATAGGGAATTTCCTGGCATAGAACAGGGACGTGGTAAGTAGTTGTTTACCTCAAGTAAAATGATGTTCTCACTTATAGTGACTTGGAGATTATATTTTTTTACATTATGCTAATTGGATAAAGTACCTCAAGCAGATCAACAGTTTGCTTTTTATTTGTTGAATAAACATATTTTAAGTGTGTTTTTCCCCACAGCAGTGGTTCGTTATTTTTATTGTTGTCTAGGGCATCATTGGAAAGAATGTCCAATGAATGCATTAGTACAATTTTTGAAAGAGGTAATATTCATATATAGATTTCAGTTATATAGTTCTTAAAACTGTAAAATAATCTGCTATAATATGTTTGCATGGGTTGGAGTATTATTGAAAATGAAGTAAAAAAATGTAAAGGCACTATTATATTAATGATGGTGAGCTAACCTCTAAAAATATTTTTAAAATAACGTTTGTGCCCACATTAAGTGTATTTTTGAAGTACCAAAATTTATATCAAATGCAGTTAAAGGCTCTAATGTTAGCTTTAGAAATAACTATGAAGTGTGGTAGTCTTCTGGCAGTTAGTGTGTGCTACTGAATGAATGTGAAGAGATGACTTCTGCTTCCGTGTGACTTCTACTTGAGCACCTCTACTGAATGCAACTGTTTCAAAAGGACTGAATTTAGTAAATTTCTTTTCCTCTATCTTTTTATTTTTTTGAGACAGAGTCTTGCTTTGTTGCCCAGGCTAGCGTGAGTGCTGTGGCGTCAGCCTAGCTCACAGCAACCTCAAACTCCTGGGCTCAAGCAATCCTCCTGCCTCAGCCTCCCCAGTAGCTGGGACTACAGGCATGCACCACCATGCTCGGCTAATTTTTTCCACATATATTAGTTGGCCAATTAATTTCTTTCTATTTATAGTAGAGACAGGGTCTCGCTCTTGCTCAGGCTGGTTTTGAACTCCTGACCTTGAGCAATCCTCCCTCCTTGGCCTCCCAGGGTGCTAGGATTACAGGTGTGAGCCTGGCCTCTTTTCCTCTATCTTTAATGCTCAATAATGATATTGTCTTCCTTTTTAAAATCTCTGAATATAATAGTCTTTCAACTTTCTTTTCTTGAATTACTTTTTTTTTGCATAAATTTAACACATTTTTTGTTGTTTTTGAATAAATAGGGAAAAGTATAATGAGTTTTCAAGAGAGATTATGTAATTTGTCTGCAATAATAAATCGTCTCAGAGTATATTTTGTAGTGTGTTGTTTATTTTTGTATCATACATTTACCCAGCATTGTCCTTTTTAAAAATAATTTTTTAAAAAAATTTCAAAAGATTAAGGGCGTACAAATGTTTTAGGTTACATGGATCACTTTTGTAATGCTTGAGTCACAGCTATGTGTGTGTCTATCACTCAAATAGTGCTCACTGTACCCATTAGGTGGGATTTTGCCCCTCCCCCTCCCGCCCCTTTGTGATTTCCACTGAGTTTTACGCCCTCCCTGTACACCCATCATTGTTCTTGCAGTGAGCTGACTTGTTGCTTTCTTACCATGCTTAAGATAGTTTAACATTATATACTGTTAATGTCTTAAAACTGGCTAACCAAATCCTGTACCTAATAGTTAGACATATCTTTGAGAAAGGAATATTTCAATTTTTTTCATTGACATACCATTAATATCCTTTAGTTAAAACTTCTACCACTCATAAGTGCCTTAGGGCATGTAAGTAAACAGCGTTAATATTTAAGTAGCAGCAAAAGAAATCCTGTGGTTTTAGAAAGATCTTATGAATTCATTGGTAGTTACCTATTTGGAATAATCAAGTAATAATAATAATATATATGTATATATAATTTATAAAAAAAAACTGTATCTAAAACTGTATCTAACTAATCAAGAAAGATTTGCCATATTTTCCCTCTAGTGTCAGGGCATTGAGAAGATAGGTCTGTTATACGTTAAAATGTTAGACCTTTTACTTTAAACTGAACTGTAATGTGGACCAGGGGAGTAAAGCTTCTTACTGCCTGTAAAACTGTGTAACTCTTTTCTGTATAAGAGCTTGTAGTGAAAATGGAAAGTTAAGTGCCTGCCAAATGCAGAATCAAGGAGACGCCTGTGGTACACAGTGTTGTTGGCTAGCGTAGTAGTTGATTGGACTATGTTTCTCAAACTTGAGTATAACATAAATCCTTTCAAGGGGGAAAAAAAACTCTAAAAGATACAGATGTTGATTAAGGTAGCAGTTTCTCATGCTTTTAAAAATTGTGAATTCAACAGTACACATCCAAATGCAGATGACATAGTTGCAAATTTGCAAATTAAATACCAAGAAGGCAATGAAACCGATTACATTAAGGTTAGCAATTCATCTAATATGGAAGATGATCATGTTTTGCTGTATTGGCTATTCTTTGAAGTTGTCAGGTAATGAGGTCACTGCCCCACCCTTTTTTCTCTATCCCAGCCAGTTTTCCTTTCATTTGTCCATGGTGATTCAAATCATAATACTTGCCAGTAATTTGCATAAGAACAGATGCAGACACAGGTCCTGGGAGCTGTTTTGTGATTGTAATCCAGATGATGCACTATATGCTTTTATAAAAGTTTAGATTATCATTGAAAAAAAATTCTAAAAGCAGTCTTGTGGAGGATGTTCAGATACCTGAAGGAATTACCTCTTGCTCCCCTTTTTTCTCCTTCTCCTAAGTTTGAGAAACACAGGAGCTTGAGAATTTGCTCAACCCCCGTAATTTATTGGAATGTTCTGTTTTGATGTTGGGAGAAAAACTGTTCTCTTAATGAGATTGTGAGGCCGTTTTAAAATGGTCCACCTGCCTGCTCTTTTGGGGAAGGGCCACTCCTTTTTCTTTGAACTCCCCAGCATGTATTGAAACTTGCTTTTGACGCTACTCGCTCACCTTTCCTCCCGTGTGATTGTTTTCTGCCTAGATTAAAGGTATGTTGAGGGCAGAGAAGCTCTTTCACGTTGACTGCTCCATGAACACCTGCTGATTTTAAAGGTCAAATCAGATTTATATTCCCTTTTACTCTGCAGTAAAGCCAGACAGCATAATGAAAGTAACAGATGACTTTATTGAGATTAATTCTGTCCTCAAGAATTAAATACACACAAAGAATGTGAAAAATGCTTCGAAGGAAGTGTTTCTTGGCGGCAGTCAAGGGCAGCTGTGGCCCCGTTTGGAGTGTGTGGTTTTGCCAGCATATACTGGGTTTAGTATAACTTAATCACTTGTAGATGGGCCTCCATAAGGCTTAAAAAGTAAACTACAGAATTATTTTCACATTAACACTAATGCATGATTCTAAGGGTCCTTTTTTTTTTTTTTTGAGTCAGTGGGAATATCCATCATAAATTGTTTAAAATCTCACTGTGATATTAAATCATTTTAATGAAACATAATCCTGGAACAGAAGGATTTGCTATTGTCAGAGGCACTTAATCATCTTTACCTAATTCTTTGTATTCCTTTCCATTTAGACTCATACAGGAGAAAAGGAGAAAGTCTGCCCATATTGTGGCCAGAAATTTGCTAGCAGTGGCACGCTGAGGGTTCACATCCGAAGCCACACAGGTATGAAGACGGTGACTGGTGATGAAAACAAACTCAGAAAAGCCATGTGCTTCCAAGACAGGAAACATTATAATAGTACAAAATATCTCCCAGATTAAGAACGAGTCCTTCCTATTTTCCCTCCTTCAAAGTATTATAAAACCCAGTTTCTTACCCTAGAAGAATTTTGAATAAGTGTATTAGGTCATTAAATATGAAATGTCTGATTTCAAATCAAAAGTGTAGTTTATTATATTAATACCTCAAACAAGACGCAGTGCAACGAATCGAAGGATGCGCCTAAACTATCCACACAGTTTTGCCATCTTAACGGTAGCTCGTTTATGCCAGCAGAGAAGCCTGGAGAGTGAGTGGTGATCAAAACGCAAAAGGCATTTTCCCCGGCTTCTTGAGAATTGAATATTTTTCCTTGCAAGAAGGGGTCCAAAGCCTGGAAGAAGCGTAGTCAGTTGGTGCAAGGGCTGGTGAATATGGCGGATAACAGAGAATTTCCAAGTCCAACTTCAGTAGTTTGAGGGCATTGGTTGTACAACCTGTGGTCGAGCGTGTCTTGCAAGAGGATTGGCCTGTCTCTGTTGACCGATCTCAGGTGCTGAATCACAAGCATCCTCATCATTTCATCCAGTTGGTTGCAGTAGACATCACTGCAATTGATTGACCAGGTTTCAAGAAGCTGTAGCAGATAATACCAGTGCTGGACCACCAAATAGACACCATTAGTTTTTTTTCCCTTGGTGGATGTTCAGTTTTGGACAGTGTTTTGGCACTTCATCTTTATCCAACTATTGTGCTGATTGTGATTGTCAAAAAGAATCCATTTTTCATCACATGTAACAATACAATATGTAAATGGTTCACCTTTATGTCATGAGAAAGACAAAGAAAGGCAAGCTTTCAGACAATTTCTGTTTTGACGCTCATTTAATTCATGCGGTACCCATCTATCCAGCTTCTTTACCTTGCCCATTTGTTTCAAATGGTCCAATATTGTTGAAATAGTAATATCAAACCTTGCTGCTAATTCTTGTGTAGGTTGAGAGATAGATTCACTTCCACTACAGCTTTCAGCTCATTGTTATCCACCTTGGTCTCAGGTCACCCTCATGGTTCATTGTCAAGATTAAAATCACTAGAATGGACCTTCTCAAACCATAGACGCACCATGTGTTCATTAGCCACATCCTTCCCAAACACTTCGTTGATATTTTGAGCTATCTATACTGCATTGGTTCCATGATGGAACTCATATTTGAACTTTTATCTATGGTTTCACAAAAATTGCTCTAAAAAAGTTGAAAAATAATTACAAGCCAAAATGTGCATGTCAAAGACTGAGGATGTACCTTCACAATAAAAATAAAACAAGAAGTGTCAAAGTGAAATGTCAGAGATATCAACTGTCAAACTTAATATTTAAGGAAATCCAACATTTCATACTTAATAGCCGGATATTTCCCTTCCCCCAAATTAAGTAAAACATCTAATAGTAAACATAAGGTTTTATTTATTTTTTTTTTTTCTTTTTTTTTTTTTTTTTTTTTTTTACTAAGGAAGGGGTGTGAGAAAAACATAAGGTTTTAAATATTTGATTGTGATGTAACTGTGTTTTGTTTGATTTTAATATGATTTTTTGAATTTTGATTTTAATATGATTTTGATGGATGGAATAGGGAATAACAGTTTCGCTTTTTATTCTGTCAAATGTGACGTTTTTAAATTGAAAAAGTCCTTACACTGTTGCTTGTAAGCTATAAGATTTTACTGGATACAAGGTTGGTGTGACTGTAATATTTTTTTATGTCATGGATTTCTTCCTTAAAAGGCCCCCTTCTTTTCTTACCAGTTTCTGTGCAGTTTCTCCAGTGAAAAAGGGCTGTGCCCAGTGAGGGGTAAATGAGCAACGAAACATTTTTGAAAGAACCTTTTCTGGATTTTATCTATCATGTAGATGAGTACTTTAAAAAGACTTGAAAGAATACTGTTAATTTTGATAACCAGATGCTTTTACATTAGTCTGAAAACTTTTTTAGTAGCTGGACTCTATTTATATGGTAAACTATGTAATCGGATTGTATAGGTGAGGCTTCCTATTCAAGAGCCGGTGTTAGGCTTGCTTTGCCATTGTACCCCAGGCACTGGGCACAGTGTGTAGCACGATAACTATGTTGTGAATGAAGAAATGGTTTAAGCAGACCAAAGGAGCAATGCTGTGAATATTAGACATAGGTGGAGGAAGGACAACAGTGGAACATAAATTCTAATTTTGGAAATTTTCTGGCTGAAGCTAAAAGACATACAGTCAACTTGGTACTTGTTATCTTAGAATAGCCACTTAAATATTTTCCAATGAAACATGTAACCCAGAAGAGTTGGCTGTGGAGTCATGGGTGCTCTAAAGAAGGAAAGGAAGGTCTTCTTAATTAGATGTCATCTGGAGAAAGTGAGGCTTTCGGGACAAAGTGTGGCAGAAGCAGAGAGTAGCAAAAAGAAAAGTAGAAAGGAGCGCTAGGGCCTGAGCAGCAGAGAGAGCCACGCTGAGGGCAGGTGTGCTAGAAGTAGCACCATCGCTGATGGTGCAGCGGCAGCAAGTGATGGGTGAAGAAGACACAGAGAGTTCTGAAGTTTGGAGCCAGCCCCTACAATCTAGTGGTGTATTCTCTGATGTCACTGGGCAGCCCTCTCTTAGGTGCATTTGGGGCTGTGTGGAGTTGGGTTGAGGTAAGGGCAGGAGTGAAGTCAACAGCTTTCCACTCTGCATCAGTAATTCTTGCAAGATGTCTTTGTGCAACACTCGCAGATTTCGTGTCTGTCTCTGCGTGCTCGTGCATATAATTTGTGATGAGTGGAGGGCAATTAGGGAACGGGGAAAGTGTATTATATCTGCTTATCAGATGATAAGTTTATAATAATGCCCCAAGACATGTTATAATTGTATTATGTTTGGTGTAGTGTGTTTTCAAAAGCCAGGGACTTACATTGTTCAGAATGCATTGAAACATAGGTTCCACACAGAGCACATGAAACCAATCAAGTCAAGCACTTGATTATTCCAAATAATTCCATCCTTGAGAATTCTGTGTGCCTGCATTTCATTTTACTCATAATAAGGATGGGCAGTGGAGAAGAATAAAGTACTTAAACTAGTAATAGCTCCTAAAATTTTAACTATTACTGTCTTCTATGAAGTTGCAATAAGAGGATTCTTTTGAGCTTCAAGAATTCTGTTGAAAATATATAATATGTCATGCTTTTGTTGTTGTCTTGTGCCATGTTCTATATTGTATGTAATTTAAAGAATTTTCAAAAATCAAAATAATTTTATGCATGATTTCATTATGTATAGTATGCATGAATCTGGGCCAAATGTTGGTACAGATTTTGTCCTATTAAATGTGGCTTTCTGATCAAGAGAACTGTCCATCTAAATTCAGACAGCAGTACTGAGGCACAGTGAACCAGCACATACAGTTAGGTACATAGATAGATACATGGGGATTTTATATATATATATATATATATATATATACACACATATATGTGTGTGTGTGTGTGTACAATATTTAAAGAAGGGAAGAGAGAAAAAGAAAGAGATAGTTTATGTATTTATGTCCATACAAATAATTGTATAATCAATTGTTCATCTAGTTATTTAGTTATAACTAGATTTTTCTGTTTAAAATCAGACTGGTTTTACTTTCTCATTTTACAATTCTTCTTTGGGTTATTGTGATGTCAAGCCTATATTCTTGGTGACAACTGCCTGGCAGCATGGCTGCAGCGTGTGGCTGCCTGCAGAGACCTGGCTGGTGGCTGGCATCTGGGTTTCCATAATGGTCCTGGAGCAGATTTCTTTTCCTGCATGAACAAACGATGCTTTTGCTTCTCTTTTATTTGCTTCATCCTATCCCCCAAATGCTGTACATACGTTTACCCTCCCAAGCTACAACCTGGCTCCACGATCACTTGGACTTACGGAGTGATTTCGCTACTATGACAGCAGTGCTCATAACATTTGGAGTTCTGTAAATTCATTTGTCTCTCTCCTTGTATTATTTTTCCTTATGGAGTCATGTGGTTTTATTAGTCCCTTTCTCAATGCTAGGCTCAGCAAGTTAATGGTTGTGTTGTAGCATGACATAGATAAGGGTCATGCCCTATTCTGTAGGCAGCGTTTAGTTATATATTATTTAGGGAGGACGCAATGAAGTGGTGAGAACCATGAGGGAAGGTGGGGTGGGGACAGTCAGGAGAGGACAGCTGATGCAGCCTCTGTGGAGCAGGGCCCTCAGGATCGGTGGGCTCATTGGTGGCCTCATCACTCCACACCACTCTTAAGATTAACTGAGGACTCTGGAAAGCTTTTGTTTACATGGGTTATCCTATAGCTGTTTCCCATATTAAAAATTAAGGCTGTTTACCATATTAGAGAATATTAAAATATTTGCTAGTTTGTTAAAAATACCAATATTAATCCCATTACATGTTAACATAACATACTTTTATAACAAATAACTGCACTCTCCAAACCAGGAATCATTTAGTGGGGAAGGAGACGTTATTTTATATTTCTGAAAATCATTGTCTGGTTTGAGAGGAGACCGCTGGATTCTCATGTCTGTTTCTTCATCCTGCTGCAGTATGTTCTTTTGATTGTAGAATTTGAAGACAATATGGCCTTGCACAGATATGTAGTTAGAAGGGATGAGTATTTTAGTAGTCTTTGTCAAATAATTTTAGATATTATTAGTTATTGCACTAAAACTAAAAAAGTGGTAGTTTTTTTTTATAAAGACTTACTGTTGCATGACCTAAAATTATCTCAGTGAACTTTTTCTTTTATGTTACGTTAAAATCAATTGTTCCGTGTTGCACTTTGGATGATTTTTTACTCATGCATGATTCTGTAACTTGATGCACAGGTAATTTAGAAAATATTGGCTTACTAAATTATGCATATCATCCACATTTTATTTGACTCATAGGAAGTACATTTTATTTTACTTATAGGCTGATATGTTAATATCATTGCTGACCTTGATAGACAGCCTAAGTTTTCAGAAACCTCTAAATACTTGGTAGCTGATATAAGTCTTCCAAAATTCTAAATATTGCTTGACTGCTCTAACTTTTGTATTTGGTAAGAAATACTATCATTTCTTTCTTTCTTTTTAAAATGACAGGCTCACTTTTTTATTTTCAAAAAACATATGTGCACCACATTTTTAATAACCCTAATATGTCTGTCAAGCATTTTTTCATATAAAAATGGTGTTCCATGAAAAAAGCTTCCAGTTCAGCGTACAGCTCAATCACACAAGTGTTTTACTTGAGACAACTTTCATACATCAGCATGTATTATAAGTGCTTTCAGGTTAATTTATGAGTATTAAAAATACGGTACACAAGAGTTAGGGTTTATTAGAAGTTATTAATTTTATTAAAATTGATGAACATCAAGGCTGTTTTCAAGTGAAACTGGCATTTATTTCTACTGAGAGTGTGTGGCAGTGACTTGTATTAGGATTATTTTTTTAATTTCAGCATATTACAGGGGTACAAATGTTTAGGTTCCATATATTGCCTTTGCCCCATCCGAGTCAAAGCTACAAGTTTGTCCATCCCCCAGACAGTGCACACCACACTCATTAGGTGTGTGTATACACATCCCCCCTCCCCTCCCACCTGCCTGACACCCGATGAATGTTACTACTATATGTGCATGTAAGTGTTCATTGGTTAATACCAATTTGCTGGTGAGTACATGTGGTGTTTGTTTTTCCATTCTTGTGATACCTCACTTAGTAGAATGGCTCTAGTTCCATCCAGGATAATACAAGAGGTGCTAGATCACCATTGCTTTTCGTGGCTGAGTAGAACTCCATGGTATACATAAACCACATTTCATTAATCCACTCATGTATTGATGGAAGCTTGGGTTGTTTCCACATCTTTGCAGTTGTGAATGTGCTGCTATGAGCATTCTAGTGCAGATGTCTTTTTTATAGAATGTCTTTTTTTCCTTTGGGAGATGTCCAGTAATGGCATTGCTGGATCAAATGGTAGTTCTACTTGTAGCTCTTTGAGGTATCTCCATATTACTTTGCAGTCCCACCAGCAGTGGATGAGTGTTCCTATCTCTCTTCATCCATGCCAACATTTATTGTTTTGGGACTTTTTGATGAAGACCATTCTCACTTGAGTTAAATGATATCTCATTGTGGTTTTGATTTGCATTTCCATGATGATTAGAGATGTTGAGCATTTTTTCATGTTTGTTGGCCATTAGTCTATCTTCCTTTGAAAATTTTCTGTTCATGTCCTTTGCCCACTTTTTGATAGGGTTGTTTGATTTTTCCTTGCTGATTTTCCTGAGTTCTCCTTAGATTCTAGTTAGCAGCCCTTTATCAGGTATGTAGCATGCAAATGTTTTCTCCCATTCTGTGGGTTGTCTATTTGCTCTCTTGATAGTTTCCTTGTCTGTGCAGAAGCTTTTTAACTTGATCAGGTCCCATTTATTTATTTTTGTTGTGGCTGTGATTGCCTTTGGGGGTCTTCTTCACAAATTCTTTCCTTAAGCCAATGTATATATGAGTTTTTCCAACATTTTCCTCTGGAATTCTTATAGGCTTATGCCTTAGGTTTAAGTCTGTTATGTTCTACACTGTGAGTTGATTTTTGTGAGAGGTGAGAGTTGCGGGTCCTGTTTCAGTCTTCCGCATGTGGCTATCCGATTTATTAGTTTGACCACTGCCTTGATACATACCAAGGTACCAGCAGTTTTACCACCATTACTTTTGTACCATTAGGGTAAATGTCAACATAGTAAAAAGGGCAAATAGTATAATAATATTATTATAAAAGTAGTGTTGACCTTGCAGACCTTGTGAAAGAGTCTTGTGAATCTCCGGGAGTATATTGGCCGTGTTTTGGGAACTAACACTCTTGATGGACCTTTAGCCAATGATAAATACCTGGGATAAAAACAGTTATATGTGTATAAGGAAGAAAGCGTCGGCCTGTGCACATAAGGACCCAGCTGACAGATTCTCTTATCTGATTGATCAGAATGGTATCGTGTTCAAGTGTTGCCCTGGCTTTCTTGATAATAAAATCTCAAGCTTTTGCCACCGCTGCTGCTTCTGCTGTTGCTGCTCTATGATGGTGTCCATTGTCATTGCCTTGGCTAGAATCAGGATTTTAAAAAGCCATCTGATGAGTGGGTTTGATGAGCCAGCTCTGATGCTGCTTTTGTATAGGAGTTGTTTGCTGTTGGTCTCATAATGCTATGTTTATAATAGTAAACAGAAGAACATAAAGGGTTTCCAGATGTGGGCATATCTGTAGGTACGCTACAGAACTTAACTCTAAAACTTGCCTGCAGATAGCAAAAGATAGAACTTTCCTGAAAGATTATCCTATCGGCAAGATATTTACTGATATTTGAAACTATTTAGTTGGGGTTTAGGAGACTCTGAGTTATAATGAGATTGAGTAACTTTCCCCACCAGAGAGTTGCCCTGCTTGGTAGAAACAGGGCTTGGTGTGTTTCCTGCTCTCACTCTTCTGCTGTGGGAGTCGCCCTTGCGTAGTGGAAAGAGAAGGGGCTTTGGAGACAAGGGACTTGAGTTCAAATCCTGGCTCCCACTTACTAGCTGTGCACTTTTGAGCAAATTGCTTAACCTCTCCCATCCAACTACTAACCAGGCCTGGCCATAGACTGCTTAACCTTTCTACGTCCCATTTTACCTCAGACATTCTTTGTGGAGAATAAATGAAATCGTGTCTGTGAAATACTTAGTGCTAGTTCGTAATAGATGGTCAGTTCATTGTCATAAGTATAATCTCTAAAATTCTTCTTTAATATCGCCCCTTGTTAAGACTACCTTTCTAGTGTTAAGTGAATTGTGTTTATTAACATTGAGTAGCAAGCCTTTACTGACTGACTGATGTAACTTCTTACATTATTATTTTCTTTTTTTCTTCTTAGGTTTTCTTTCCTGTAGGACGTTATACTGAGGATTTTCATGTTTAATACCTTTTCCTTTTCTTCCAACTTTATTAAGATCTTAAATTGTTGAACATGTGAAATGTTCTTAACCAAATTTTATAAACATATTCTTGGTTGACGGTTAATAAGGAATTAATTTAATATCATGATGTTTGTCATAATTATAATTATGGGATTTTTAAAATGTATTTATTTGGGGAAAATACATTTTAGATGGCTATGTTCTTGACTAAGTCTTCCTTTTAATAAATGTTTAAAGGGGAACTCAGTTGAAAAAATCTTTTCTGGTGGTATTTAAAATTCTGAACTATGTATGTACTGCTAATTTCTTTTTTGAAATTAAATTGTAGTGACTTCCAAAATACCTTTTATAAATTTAGTTTGCTTTGTCACATCAAAACTTGTCCTAGGCTTTTAAAATTTTACTACCTTCTTTATTAAGCATAAATACAAAGTATGTTTGATTTATAAGTCCAAAAGAGGTTATGGGCATAAAGTTTGTTTTATAAAAAGAATATTGTCCTGTTCCTAGAAGAACTGTTTAGAATAGCAAAATATTGGAAAAGAGTCTATATATATCTAATATTGAAGGGGCTGGATAAATAAATTATGGCATATCTATAAATTGGAATATTATGTAAATAATAAAAATGATATTATAACTATATATTAATTATCATGAAAAGAGACGAGACAGATAAATTATAAAAGTGGAGTGATATATTTTTATAAGAATAAAACTTTTGTTTATTAAAGTCTGAGATTATTAACTGTGGCCATTTCTTTGTGTTATAAATATGGATAGTTTAAATTTTCCTCATGATTTTCTGTTTTCTAATTTTTACAATAACTTTTTTACATAATAAAATATTTAAAGTATATTAACCTTATATCATGATTATGCAGGTAACTGTTATTACCAGAAGATCTATACTATGGTGTTTTGGTGTGAAATGTCTCTGAATCTTATTCTCAAGTGGGCCAGGAAAAAGAAGTGCATATAAAAAATATATATTGGAATAGAGAAATGAGAATGAGAAGGCAACTATGGTGAAATGTTAACAAGTATTAAACCAAAGCGAGTATATATAGTGTTCATTGTACTATTCTTTCAGTATTTCATCATGTTTGAAACTTCCATAATGAAAAATTAGTGGGGGTGTTTTATTTCAATGAAAACAACTGAGTGGCAATAGATGCCACCTAAGAGTAGCTGAGAACTCTCGCTCAAACATCCAGCTTCATAGCTTAGGTCTTGTTCACATCATCTGCCCTGGAGCCTAAGTGTTTCCACAGGAAGACTTACAATCCTTACATATAGACGACTTTTTGTGGTTTTGTTTTCTTACGGTTGTACTGCTTGGAGAAAGCTCAGCATCCTTTGAAGAAGCCAAATGTCATTCCTTCATGCCTAATCCTTCTTAAGCATGCTAGGTTCATCTCCTTGAAAAAGGAATTTCGTGGAATTTGCTATCCTCATGGATTTTGCAGACATTTTCTTTGAAATGCTTTGGAAAGTCTGTGCAATCTTTGTAAAAGACGGTGTAAAGAATTGATAAGGCTCACCCAGTCATTCTGTTATCCCACTTACAAGCTTTCAGTGGCTCCTCTGTGCCTTGGGCACAGTGCCTGCCCCTGCCTTTCTCATGAGACTCAGCGGCTACCAGCCTCTCTCACTGTTTACATTCCAGCCTCGCTTACCAGGCATCTTTCACTTTCCTCCAGGCTCCAGCTATTGCTTTCTCCATGGCGTGTTTCCTGACCTGCCTCAGACCCCTGCCCCGATCGACTGGCGCACTCCATGCTCCTGTGCTTCCTGTAGCCCGGCACCCGTCCCATCACCTGTGCCCACGGTCACCTCCAGTGACCTCTTGGATCTTGGCTCCCTTGGGGCTGCGCCCATAGCTGATACCTTACTATTTTCCCATTCAGTGCACTACCTGGCATAGAGTAAGAAATTATGAGTGCTGTTGAATAAATAAAAGAGCCTACTAATCGGTTGCAGTACCTGTGAGATAGTGAAAAGGCTGCTGGCTTCAGAGTGAGAAGTCCCAGATTCAAATCCAAATTTAATTGACCATAAAATCCGTTTTTCATTTAATACCCACAAAAATCTGTGGAATTCTCTTTGGGAAATGCTAACATTCAAGAAGAAAATGGTGAACTTCCCAATCTGTGAGCTGGGCCCACCCACATTTGCTTTCCTTTCCATTCTTCATCCTGTCGCTTCACCTTGTAATTGTTGGGAAACTGTGTAACAAATAATCGTTAGTAACATGGTTTGAGATCTGGGTCACCAGTGCCCATAATGTTACAGTGCTTAACTAAGGAAATAAGGAGTAGTACTGGCCAACCACTACCAAACTCACTGTGACTGATTTCACCTTGGAGTGGCCTAGTTTTTAAAATTGCTCATTAGAAAATAGAAAGAAGGTAGAGGACATTGGTCCTGCCAAAGGCCCCATCCATTCTGTTTGACGAGGGTGAGTCTCTGTTGTCAGAGCTGGAATAATTACTGACAATGGTGTAATACCGAAGACTATTCTCATTTCCTAGATGAGGAAACTCAGATTCAGAGACGCAAATGACCTTTTCAGTATCTAGGTAATAAGACACAAACTTTTTGACTTCAAATTCTGTTTTATTTTTATGTTATCCTGTTTTTGCGACACAGCTATAATAATCACTATAAGAATTATGGAAATTCTATAAATTCCCCAGTATAAAAAATGAGAAATAAAAGTACTGTATAATTCCAGTACTATGGGAGCTTTATGCTTTAGAGCCAAATGGTGCATTGCCTTTTTTTTTTTGGTAACATACAGAGAAAATGATGATTAAGTTTAGTTTTACCACATTCCTTTTTATTCCCCCTAGGAAATGATTATCAAATGGAAGTTGGACCTTTGAATATAACTGAAATGTGATGAGAGTTTTATGTATTTAATAGTCTTTCAATCTTTTACCTAGTGTGTTGAAAGGATACATTTTATTTTTTAATAATATCCAAGCTGTCTATCAATAATTAAGGAAATTTGTTCTTTTTTTATGACACCGAATAACACTCAGTTTTACAAAGAGGAAATAAGATTCTAGTTTATGTTTCTTCCTTCCAATTTGCTAATTGGTATCTTTCATCATTTCCTGTCTAGTACAATGACAGTGTTGTTTTGTATAGCATTAAAGGCAGTTTCCTTCATACACTTTAATTTTCTTAGAACAGGTATTTTTTTAATTGGCTCATGACTAATGATCATTCTATAAGACAGCGCTAAATTGATTATTGGATGATTACTTCCCTTTTAAAGTTCTGGGAAGAGTTTTATCATTTATATCTTTGTTTTTATTTTTTGTTTATAGTATTTACATTTTTAAAAAAAAAACCCTCCAATTCCTCCATGCCATGATTTATTTTATCCTTTCCCACCTTAGTAACCAAGCAGGTACCCCCTTGCTGCGTCTATTGCTTTCTCCGCGCCTCCCTCTGTCCTTCCCTGTCGCCACTGTTGTGCGGCGCTAGCGTGAACCCTGACAAAGCCCATCTTTCCGTTAACTTTGAAGATGTTATTTTCCATGACCCTTATATCTGCCTTCTGAAGTCCATTCCATTCTGCGTAATTTGGTGATGAGAATAGGGAGGTGGTAAGTGTGCATAAGGCACCTGCTTTTGTAGATTTTAAAAAATCATATTCTTGACTTTCAGAATAGAAAGCAATTTCCGAAATTATCTAGTTCAAGCCTCTTATTTGAATGAATGCCCCGCAAAATGTAAGAATTTGCCTAAGGTCATACAACTTGTAGGTGGTTCATGCAGAACTAAACCAAAGCTGGATCTTTTTCCAATGTATCACATGGCTGATACTTTTATTTCTGATTCTGTAACATTACCCGCTAACCTTTACTTTTACCCTTGAACTTGCCATAGAATTACATGCGTTCCTTTCATAATATTTGACAGTATTGTCTTGTTGATTGAAGATAATTGAAGATAATAATTGAAGATAATAATCTTGACTTGGAAACGTAGGGGTCTGTAGTTTGTTACCTATGGTCTAAGTGAAAAGTTAACTCCAGATATGGAGGAACTTTCCCACTGCAAAATCAGCTATTTATTATTTAGTACTGGTTATTAGTTACTGTATTATTTAATACTGGTCATTAGTTACCATATTATTTAATACCACCATTAATTGTCATATTATTTAATACCGATCAATAGTTACTGTATTATTAAGTACTGGTTGCTAGCTACCGTATTATTTAATACTGGTTCATATCCAGACTATAAATCCTGGAGTCCAGTTACAGGTTTCAGGCTCCATTTTATTTATTTCCTCCCTGAGTGAGCTTTAATGAGTTGCTGTTTTCCCATCCAAGTACTGACCAGGCCCGACCCTGCTTAGCTTCCGAGATCAGACGAGATCAGGCGTGTTCAGGGTGGTATGGCCGTAGACAATGAGTTGCTATTTTCTTCAGAACTTAGTTTCTTCATCTGAAAATGAGAGATAATAATAATTCCAGCTACATAGTGTTGTTTTAAGGAACAAATGAAAATATATTGTAAAAGCTTTGCATTCTGCTGTGCACAGGGTGGGCATGCGCTACTGTGGGCCATTGCTGCTGTGTTTTGCTTTTGTGTTTCTGCCTGCGTTTAATCATAAGTATACACACTCCCTTGACAGACGGGTTGACCCTCTGTTCTCAGTGTCATCATGCTTATCTTCCCATAAAAGTTAGCAGCAGCGTGTAGATCGTCTGTAGAATATAGATGAGGGTTTGCTGTCGAACAGGGCTGGTGTGAGGTGAGTGAAGGTGCATGTGCAGTGTGTCGCTGTCATTGTCATTGAAGGGAGATGTTTGGGACTGTGCCTGGCATGCAGCTCTGTGACGCATCATCTGGTTTCCTATGCTAGAGTGACAGAGATGGCACTCTGTGGGTTGGCTGAAACGGTAGGGCACATTTATAGCTTCTTAGGGTCAGTGAGAGCTAGGGTTCATTCAGAAAGGGAATCCGTGGATTAGGACATGAATTCCTTCAGTTGTTCATAAATTAGGAAAGAAATTCTAGGAACTGCTTTTGGTTTTTTAAAGCTCTGGGCCAGAAGGTTAATTACTTGCCTACAGTTCCAACCAACTTTCTGTGTTAATAGATTCCGGCTGTGTTGGTCTAGGCTTGCTTGCACGTTTATATTTGAATGCAGTAATAAATCACTCTCTTAGTAAATATTTCATGTTTTGGATAAATACCTGTGATCAGCTTAGAAATAAAGAATCAATATATTACAATTTGATTATAATTGGATTTTAGCCACTTTTTCATTATTCTCTAATACTTTTTCTAAAGGAATTAGTTCACTCTTTTTAGAATATTTGTTCAACATTGTAAAAACAGTAGCTACAAATAATTATAAGTAATTATAGGACAATAATGATTATTAAGAAACATTAACAAGTTAATCATAAAGACATGAAAATTTAAACATGTTTTTCAAATTTTTATAAGAATTAGGTGACCCCCAGTCTATGTTGAGGGGGAAATTGTTTTGCGATATTTATTTTCTAAGTGGTTCATTGCTAACATTAGGCCAAATCAAATGTTCTCTTACCTGCGGATAATCTAATAGTTAACAAAATTGTTGAATGTGGAAGCTGCATAGAAATAAATGATTTCCTAAGCATCACACTTAGAAAGTTTATGTCTTCCCCAAGAAATGTCTGATTGGAATTTTCTTATTCATAGGTAAAGTCTTGAACTGTATGGTTTCA